ATAAATTAATTTGCTTCTACATAAACATAAGTAACAACGTTCTGACGGATAACCTAGTGTAATTTTACATGTTAACAATCAATCTCTACGTTCTCTGAATCGATGTCTCGTGTAAAGAAATGTTACTTTATAGCAGGGAATTGTTCGACAGTTTGCAATACTCTTTTGCAAACACGGATAAATAAATTTGCCCGCATCGTCGGGATACGTATCAAGATTTACAAATATTTGATATGGTTATCAGAGGAATAAAGGTCGAACGGTCGTAATTCTTCAAATATTTGAAAGATAGCGTTGATTTTTCACCTATCGGCCTCGGTTAATTTTTGCGTTACACTTTGGCTACGTAAACACGAGTGCACGCGCGTGGAATATTCGTTACCAAGTGCGTTAACATTTTACCGCAAGTTTGCTGTGCACACGGTCGCGTGCAAAGATTGAAGAAGCGAATGTGTGTATTCCAGTTCCACGTGAAAACTTTCCATCGAATTCCGATATTCGGCGAAGTTTCTGAAATACTTGCTCCTCTGTCGGTAGTTTTCTAACAGTAACAAAATATTTATCTGCAGTGGTTCAATATGTCCGCGTTAGAGTTGCTTCGATTCTATGGCCCAGTCAAAGAACACCTATAATTTTTGAACATGTGAACGCATTGAACGATTTCAATTTAAACCAAGCGTTTAAAAAAAAAAAAAAGAAATATATACATGTCGAATTGAGTAACCTCCACCTTTTCCAAATCGGTTAAAAAGTTTACCAAACCTAGGTTTGCTAGTCAAACTGAAATTTACGACAATTGGAGATATTCCTTTGCAATTGTTTCGATTACAATTACAAACAAGTTACTCTATTCGCGTCCATTCCTTTTTGAAAAATATTGGATGTGTCCTTTACTTTTAAAAATGTTGTAGTTTACATTTTTTTTTATCCATTGTTCACTTCATTTTCGGTGTATTTACTTTTACTTTTATTTTGGAGCTACTACTTATAATTTCCATGCTGAAGAGAAGGTCATTAGATCTAGATTGTATTATGATATTAGAATCTTGATAGAATTTTCTTTGATTAGCAGATCTCGAATTGTCCCATCGAATTCGGGATCTTTGAGGATATTCTGTTCTTTTCGGTTTACGTTTCCTTCGATTCTTCGTAAACAGAAACATTACTCTTGGCGTATCTCCTAACGGGCCAGTCTGAATTAACCGATGGTTATAGTGCGCATCCACCTTTGCGAAATGGTGACTTTATTTTGCGATTGTGGTTCGCCAATAGAGACTTCATTAAAGTAAAATTTAGATTTACGTTCACGAGCTGGAGCATTGGATTCAAGTCAATGTACATTTCTAATCATTTATATTGCTAAATGAATCGATAAAGGTTCCAATTCTATATGAAGTGAAAATTATAATAAAATTGGATATTGGATATAATTTTATTATTTTTAGAAGTTGATTCTATCTCTGTATGTATCATTCTATTTTTGTATTCGACATTTCTATTTCATATTTCATTAGTATTTTAGTGGATATTGAACTATATCAACTTTTGGTGAAATGTTAACATACATAAATGTAGCTTTACCAGTTAAAATCATATTTCGCACATCGTTGCTTAATTTTCCATTTCCATCGGTTGACAAAGTTAGTTTATGTATATTTTACAGTAAAAATTGCGTATAAAGGGGACTTACATCAGGCATATTCTGTACATTCAAATTTAGAACATCCTTAGTCCTCATTTGTAAAGTAAATTTATTTTTTAAATTATTTATAAAAAAATTTAGGAAACATTAACAACTGGACAAATTACATAAAAAACCGATTAAGACAAAAAATGATAAAGTCTTTTTCATATTCAGGGTCAGTGCTAAGAACTTTTTGTTCAAGTATAGTTATTTCCTCTTCTTAGTTAAATGCAGTGCAATTAAAACTATGAATGTAGAATGATATCATGCAAAAACTTTCGAAATAACATGTTGAAATACTTTCTTCTTGTTTAGACTTGTGGAGTATCCAAATCGTATTTATTCAAGAAGAATTCGGTGAATTGCGCGCATGGTTGTTGCACACATAAAAAGAAAAGAGAAACGCACAGGGGCTGCAAGACGGGTAAATTTTCACTGCAAAATATTTGAACGACGTGGAATCACAGTTTGAAAGTATTCCCAGCCAAAGTTCGTGGTAGTTGCACGCTCTATTTCGCACGAGGGAACGTCACCGGCGATTTTTCACGAAAATGAAATGTCATACGAAATGAGCGTACTGTACATCTGCGACTTGCTTTTTGATAAAGGATGGGCACTATTATTCTAATGGTACCGCAGTCACATTCTACGCGATTCTACATCAACTGTAAATATCCGTCTTGGCGTCTGGCGTATACCTCGGCGTTTTTCTTCCTTGTAAGTAGACTTTCGCACAATTGCACGATCAATTATACCGTAGAAGCTGATATTTCAAAGCATTGGTACGCATAGTTTGGTAGATAGCTACTCACGCGTCGAATCGCGGGACGAGTTAGTTGTAGTTTATAAAATATAGGTGCGAGTAGACTATACAAGGGATCAGGGTGGATGTAAAGATTGATTTCGATTATATCGTGGAATTCTTTTTACGTGAGTAATGCGATTAAAATTTCTGTCAGGAGTAACTTCTCATAAGGAATTTTCTATAATTTTATTCTTTGCCTTTATTTTTCTTAGCAAATTATATTTCAAGTTGGGGGAAGCTATCTACTTCATATTTTCGTAAAAAGTTTTTTATAAATATGTATATTCTCTAAAATATGAGAACAGAATAAGCGAAGATTATCGATTCTTATCCTCTAGAGTGTTTTGAGAAATTCGCCATTATTTGTCTCAAATTCTTGAAGATATATTTATCTCCAATATATAATTTATATAATATCCAGTTGTTTCTTTGAAAACATCATCTTATATTCATCCAGATATTCAACCACCTCTACGTGGTTCTCGCTGTGAGTACCTCCTTCTAGGGAGAAAACGAACACTGTAAAACTGTACATTTTCTGATAACAATATCGGTGAGTAGCTTCATCAATAGAAACATACTCAATAATAAATGTCCCTACAAAGCAAGTAATTATAGTTAAATTGGACCTTCCAGAACTTCACTCGTTGTCTCAAAATAAATTCACAAATGATTTAATTTACATTCCGAAACTATGAACCTTGCTTCGGACTGTAATGATAAGATTTCAAATGACTTTGTGTATAATTGTATAAGATATTTCTTTAGGGTTGATAAATTAACCATGCATCCATCAGACGGATCCTTTATAATAACTACTTTACGATCATCGACTTCTTTCTCTAAATGATAAAGATACTCTTTATTTTTGGCAATCTTCTTATTGAGGAAGCCATATACAAGCTACCTTAAGGGATCCTTATACCCTTACACTCTGCCAAACAGGAAGGTTTCTTAAAAGTACTTCGTGTGAATTTGGAAAGTAGCACAAAATGTGTAGTGTAGAGGTAATCGGCAAAAGGGCTCCCAGATATCTTGAACTCAATTTTTTATTCTTAATGGCTAATAAAACGTTTGTACACAGTATGAAGTTAGGCGCGTGAGAATGACGTAACCGTTCGGCGGTTTGTCTGAAATGAACTGACTTTTTATCTTGAAGGAGATGACGAAGATAAGAAAACGATAGATAGATAATTCGATAGAAGATAGATAGAGAATTTAGCGGAAAATAAAGAGAAAGTGAACGAGGGAGGTAAGAGTGTTCAGGCCCGTCCACACCTGATCGCCAAATGTGTTTGTAGACCAACTAGGGCCGAAATGACCCTTGCTAAATAGAATGCTGAAAGAATAAGCCGGTTGTCATGAATAGGGAAAAGAGTTTGGAAGAGAAGAGCTTTTAGGAATGTTAGGTGGAAATGAAAAAATTAGAAACCGAACGACAGAGACGTACGTTGACGCTACAGTAGATTAATCCATTCACTGTCAGACGAATCTAAAGCGTTTTACCTTGGACGTCAAAGTGTAATACAAATGTGTAATGCAGGTTATTATGTTGATAATAAATCGTAATATTAGGAATGTTAGTCTGAATGAAGTTTTTAGGAATGTTAAGTGTTAATGAAAAAGTTAGAAAGTGAACTACAGGGACGTGGCGGCTGTTCGTGGACGCCACAGTAGATTAGACCCATTCACTGCCAGACAAGCGTTTTGCCTTGGGCGCCAAGATTTAATACAGATGTGTAATCTAGGTTATTTTGACAACAAAAAAAAATATTAAATTTGATCTTTTTAAGACAAAATTTACGATCTTTATTTACAATAATTCGTGACTCAACGCCTATGAACGTATCCTTGAGTAATTGCAATCAATTTGAACTACGTGACATCTTTTAGTTGGCAGAGAATGGGTTAAAATGACTCAAACGTCGTCCAGCTTCCTTTTACCCCATTTGAATCAGTATGCATGTTGCCACATGCAAACAGTAATAATTCTATCAATCCTTCCGCTCTTCTGCGGTTCTCGAGCATTGTTCAGCGATGGGCCTGTCCTTTTCGCAGACTCGTGGTCCGTCCACCACGACTCGAGTCTCGCAATCGAGGCTACTTTGCACCCCCCCCCCTCCCCTCCAGGTCAAACGCTATTACGTTTCCCGCAAAAGGTTGGAATTAGCCGCGTTCTCGGCGATGCCCTGCCGACAGCGGCACGCTGCTCGCATGCCGAGCTGCGCCTGAAAGAAAGGGGACGCGTGTGCGCGCGTGAAACGTACCGCGAAAGACACCGCGACGGGGGTGGTTGCAAAAGGGTGAAACAGAGATACCGGGGGGGTTGGCGCGCGTCGCGTGTGTCGGAACGAGTCCGACCGAGGAAAGTCGAAAATCTTAATTCGGGGGAGGCGACGCCCCTGCGATACGATGGGCGGCGACTCCCAAGCGCCGATTGGCCTGGTTCGGGCAAAGGGTGAGAGATTTCCTAGTGGGGTGGCGGAGATATGCGCCGCGACGCAGGGACGTCGGCGTGTGCACGTCTGCCTTCACCGGTCCCCTCTGCGACCGTGGACGCCAGTCGACGTCGGGTCTCCCGAGCGCGCAGTCGTGGGAGTTGTCGTCGTTGTTCGACGATTCACGCGTGTCTCGATCGTTTCGCGATCAGGTGAACCGACGATCACCTCGATCGAATACGTTGCGTTTGGAGCGAATCGTCGTTGGATCTCGTGCTTCGTCTTCGTGTAGTCTGACCCGTGGCGTCGGGTATCTTGGATCTTGGATCGACGTCGATCGATAGTGAATCCTCGCGTGGCCGACGATCGCGTCTATCCTGCTGACAGTGGTTGGTCTAGGATGCGTTGGAGGGATGTAATTTTTTACAAAATCCCGAGCTAACTGAAACGCAGAATATCCTCGCTCCTGGCAGTGGTCCCTCGTGACAGTGGTCCCGCGCTGGACCAACGTGTACGCATCGTTTGCGGTTTATCTCGATGGAAGGTCGTCCGGGTGACTCTTCTGGAGAACGTTTCCGGTGGATGCAGAACGGCGATCTGATCGACGAGTCGGTTTCGAATTCGAGCGGGCGTGCGTGCGTGGTTGAACATCGGAGTGAATCGAAAGGATTGTTTCGCGAATGGAAGGACGACCTTGAGGGTGTCGAGGGACTGTCGAGAGCAACGGGAGACTTTGTTGGTGTGTCTGTTAATTGCGAATGCGGATCGTACGTAAATCGTGCTTGTGGTACCACGGTTGGGTTCGACGAGTCGCAACTGGAGATGCGGATGCCTGTTAAGAGGAGCAAAGAGATCGTTTGCAATTATCTGCCCAGAATGGCGGCTCTCCTCTTCTTCGCGTGCCTCTTGCTGCATGATACTCGGACAACGTCTGCAGCATTCACCACTGGTAACGTAGAACTTCAACGATCTTTTCTTTTTCTTCGTGAATGACAACTGTGCGAACGAATGCTTTCGGTGATAATGTAGGTGACGTTCCAGTGTTCGTAAATATGGTCGATGATTGGCTGTCGATAATCGATTAGTTTGTCATCCAATTGGCAGTAAAAGAAGGGTGAAAATAGCAGTGTCATTTTTTCGTTTGGGCTTCGTGACTAAGTTCAGTAGTGAAGGAGAGTTTGTGTGATAAATTGGCGGTCGATTGTTGGGACTGTGGAATCTTTGACAGTGAATGTTAATATTTTTAAACGTGTCGATCGTGTCAGCTATGTGGCTGTTGAACCTTCGGCAGTGGATGCCAATATGTTTGAACGTGTCTATCGTCCTTCGATGAATTTTTCACTCGGATTTTGTGTGTATACTCCAGTGCCGAGTAGTTTGGTTGGTTTGATTAATTTCTAGCTAAAGATTCTTCTTTCGACTACCAAAGTGGGGTTTCAAATTCGTGGAAAATCAATTCATCATTATGGGCGTGGTAGGTGAAGTTGCTAGAGGAATACAAAAATTGGTTTTTAGAGTTGTCATTAAATTGTTTGTAACGAATGTTGACTGCTACAACTTTGAAACTAATGAATCCTTCTTTCGCTAATTAATGGAGAACGCTTAGTTATGATGAGTACGATAATCACTGTTCATATGACAATAAGAAAATTTATCTCTGATGTTGTCATTTACGTACAGTGAATGTCAGCACTTTCAAATGTGTCACCATTAATCTTTTGATACATCCTTGGCTTGTGACTCGTATTTACGTTTCGATGTCAAACATATTTCATGCTTGACAAGTCGATGATTTTTTACTCAAAAATTAAAATAAGTTACCAAACTTATTGCAGATTATCTTTTATGACGAGTATATTAACCAATATTAATATAGGAATATCAAAATTGACTTTCAAGGTTGTCATTGAACGTTCTATAACCGATATTTGATGGATTTTTTTACAACACCTTCTGTTTATATTCAAAGCTTAGATAGTTTGTTCCTTCGATATGTTGATGATTCCTATTAATATTATGTAATTAGGATACATTCATATTATTTTGAATGTGAGAATGTCCATAGAGAGTCACGAAAATGTATTACATTATAATCTCATATTTGTAACAAAATAAACTAATGTGCATTGAAGAAAAGGACTAATTTTCAATAACTAAAATAAATTCACTTCGCTATTTTTGGGATTGTCATTGAATATCTTTCATTGCATGTCAATATTTTCAAACGAACCACCTGTGTTTTCACTCCAATATCGTTTTGTCCGACAACTCGACGATTCTTCTGTCGAAAATGAAAGAAAGTTTCCAAAACTCGCGGAAGATCGTTTCGTTATAACGAGTATGACGCTCAACGTGGTCGCACGAGTACGGAAAGTTCGGTAGCAGGTGTCAACATTTTCATACCTTCTGTGGAAGGTTGTACAATCGTTTTCGTACCATTCAATTTGTATTATTGTTCGTTTTGGCCGATGGCGATCGCCGCTATTGTTGCTATTGGTTCCACAGAGCGGTGGTCAATCAACGTTTACCTATATCGTAAACTTCATCACGAGCGACGTATAAACTGTCCACCATATATCCCCTCCCACCTGACGGCACTCGAGCCTGTTTGGACGGCGATTTAAACGCGCATCGTTCGATCAGCACGTAATCTGGGATTTCATTTTGGCCACGTTAAATCAGGGAACTGACAACGGAGCAAAGTGTTCCCGGAAATTATAGCGCGTTTAAATATTCCGTCAAAGGAGCACGTTTGATCGGCGGGAAATAAATTTCACGATATTACGTTGAATCGCGCGCGACGAGAGCAAAGTGGCCGCTCGTTAACCAACGATTTCTTTTTCACCGGAATTGTAGCCGGTTTCGACGACTCCGTCCGGCTGGGAAAATTTCATCAGAGCGAACCGCGAAAATTGTTTGAACGAAGCGCGAAAATACGAGGGTCGCTTGATTGTTTTGCAGGATAGAGATATTCGCAGTTGGTCGTTTTTCAATTGAATTTGTTAACAATATCATCAAAAAGATATCGTTAATCTATTCGTGTCCGCACCTAAATGTAGTGAAAATTATTCAGCTTCTTCGATGCACATCAATTTATTTTGTTACAAGTAGGAGATTGTAAAAGAATCTAATACAGTTTCACGACTCTTTTATCGTTGAAAATGTTATTAATAAAACGACCAATGTTTAATATGCTTAATAATAAAATAAAAATCGTTTTTCATTTCTATCAACCTTGCATTTTAAACCAAAACTAGAATTTGTATTATGAAATGGAATATTTCACAAAGGACATTCAAAAATTAAATTACTCGACTAAATGGTCATCACGAATGCATCGTTCATCGCTATTGTTCAAATAAAATGCCCATCTCTAATGTCAAATGAATGCCAGCCTCTGACGTGTACCTTTTTTGAGACTATTGCATTCAAAGCAAAAAGTGACCCTCCTGTTTACCGTTCATCCATTCCAATCATTTCAATGATTTATTCAAAGGTTCGCGCTCCATCACATACGACTTTCAGCGCGCGCAATGAATGATGCCTAAAAAAATATGCAGTCACGCACAAACGCGGCGCGAATCGTAAATATGCGACGAAACGTTAAACATAGAATTTGGCGAAAAAAGCGCATCAAGCGTAGCTTAAATATTTTAACGACACTTAATGACACGCGAAACACGTTCCACGCGTGAAATTATTCAACCAGGACGGGAACAGAAACTAGTTTACGTTCTTCTTTCGCGGCTTGGCTCGATGAAATTCGCTTTCTTTTTAGTCAACCTTTAAAATTTCAAGTCTTACACGCGCAGCGAAGCTTCCTCCCACGCGTCTCAAAGAATCTCGACGCGACGTTTCGAGATGCCACGTTCGCTTACGGTCGTTGTCTTCGGCGTTCTGTAAACACTCAAAGACTCTTCGTGGTAATTCAATTCGGCCATTTTGCGAGCGTCAAATTCATTTCGCGAATGCGAAACAATCTTTCGCGGCCCTTTGTCCTCTCATGTTGCGCGGAGTGCTTTTGAGCCGAGATTGTACGGAGCAAGTAATTTTCAAGATAATCGCGTCGAACATCAAAGAAGGCGAATATTACAGGGTGGCTATAGGGAAATTGGTCCTGAAATGATAGAAGTATTAATCGTCGAAGTTCTACCATTGCGATGAATTTTAAACGAAGTGGATATCTTCGGGAAAACAATATTTATGATTAATGTGTGAAAGGTGCTTGGGAAATAATTTAATAAAGGATTATTGTTTTTGGAGATACTTTCAGATTGAAGCAATCACTATGTCTATAAACATCGAAATACCAAAAGACTTCACAAGGTAATTCAGTTCAAATGGGCCATTTCCTTGCGATACATTAATTTCCCTTTCGTAGTCCTTTGTTCCATCTACTTTGCGTAAACAGCTTTTGAGCTGAGATTATACGTGCAATTAAGTTTCTAGACAATAATGTCGAAAAACATAGGAGGAGACGTACGAGACATAGGAGGAAAAATATATTCTGAACGAGATTGGATGTCTTAAAACCAAAAGTTTGTAATTAAAAACATCTCGTTTTTTAAATTATTGATTATATTATAATAATTACATTGCTTTCAACTTCGTGATAATAATAACTAAATTTGAACTATTTATTTAAAAACATGGGAGACTAATTGCACGTGTGAAAAATCATATTTTGGAAATTATTGGTTGCTATATTGGCCTAATTTAACCACATTCTCTATCATAAGGTGTTCGATACTTTTGAAATCAGCCTGTTTTCTTTGAAACTTTCTGCAACTTTTTGATAATTCAGATATTTTCGCTTTACCATGATAGGCAAGAGAATAGAATTACGAGAGAATTCGCATCTAAGGTTATTATTAACCTTTTGCGGTCGTATTAAATTTAGATCGTTCCAAATAGAATGTTTCGTTGAAATATGCACGAGTAAATACTCGAAGGGGTCCCGTGGCGCTTTAATTGGACCATTTTTGACGCGTTAAATGCATTCTGCAAATGCGAAATAATCTCTGTCCCGTCCCTTTGTCCAATCGCGTCGCGTCGAGGCCTTTTGAGCTCGGGCAAGATAGTCGTCCACCAGAGCGACACCTCTTCGCGACGTCGTTTGTAAGCGTCGTCACAAAAAGCTCGTTGGTGGCTCTAATACCGCGACTGGTAAAATTACACTTCAATGGTGAAATTGCGGCCAGGAATGAGCTACCGCGTCCCGCGCGCGTTTCCATGCATAATTCATAAGGGAGGCGTCACGGGGAAACCTCGGGCGATAAATATTTTTTGAAGCCGGAACGACGTAAAAGTGCATGCAAATGAATTGACCCTAATGTAGCCGGTACCACTTACACGCCGCTATAGGCGACCTGGTCCCATCTCGCGCCTTCTTCTTCGCCTCCCTGGCCAACCGCGGCGCTTATTGTCCTAGTCGCGATGCACGTTCAACTTCCGACAATTAACATTTTTTGCGGTTACGCGAACGCGTAGCTTCGCGAGGAAATAAATTTCGTGGTAATGCACTGGGCGTCAGCGACACGATGCTTTGCTGCTTAAGCGTGTGCCTTTCTGTGCCACGCCTTCGCGTTTTTCTTTACTTTTCTCATTTTCGTGTTTGCGCGACAATTAACGGGCCACTTGATTTCAGCCGCGAAAGGATGGGTTGAGAATTCTTCAGCTTAAGAGATACTTATACCTTCGAATATTATTCGGAGCATTTCGAAGCACGGATTAACCCTTTAATCAATAGTAACGCGTGAGACTCGTGGTACAGAATTTGAGTCGGACATTTCAAAGTTTAAACTTTTTCTACATAGGTTAACAGTTAAAGTGTCAATAATTATTCAAAATGGAAAGAGATCTATAATTCTTCCAACCTATTAGTATTATTACCCTTCAACAGACGAAATGACCTTTAAGTATAATTGAAAGTCAGCAACAAGATGTCAA